TACCATTTACCAGCTGTGTAACAGGCAGAAATTCAAAAGTACATCTTTTCTTATCCATGCATTTCTTTCTCAGGGTAATAGCTGCACCTGTTAAATTCCTGCCTGCCAAGTAGCTGTTAGAGACACATGAGTTAGTTGGAAACAAAAGGTGACATTTAACTATAAGTAGGGCCCAAACTATAGATTACATTAAACATGTAGTTAGGAGGTACCAAAAATGTTGTTGTTTAATTTCAGGCATGGGGTGGGGATGAAGTTCTGCAGCAGTTGCACAACAGGGAAGGTGGGGGGTCAGCCCTTGCTTCCTCAGCTGCAGTCCTGATGGAGACCCCCCCCCCCCCCCCAGCAGCCATTAACCTTAGGGAAAAGGACTACTTGCAGAGCTGGGGAGAATCTTAGCCAGGATAGTGATGCAGAGGAGAAGGGCTAAATATGTGCGTGTAATTTAAGAAAGGTTAAATAAAAATGTGCCTGTAATTTAAGAAGGAAAAATGCTGGCATGCTTCCTAGCTATGCAATTCAAGTAATGTCAGGTTTGGCCCTGAGTCAGAAGAGTGTTTGCCAAAGATAGGAAGCATGGTCATAAACAAGGCCACGCACTCAGTGAAAGACAGCATGGGTTTAGTTCAGACTTAGTCGTATTTAGAGAAGACCCACTGAGATTAATAATGGCCACCAACGGGGTGGCTTCAAAAGGGGACTGGGCAAACTGATGGAGGAGAAGGCTATCGAGGGCTACTGGTCCCGGTAGCTCTACATTACGTTCAGTATCAGAGGCAGAATGCCTTTCAGCAGCATTTGTTGGGCGGCCCAAGCAGGAAGAGGGTGCTATTAAACTTACGCCCTGTTTGTGGGCTTGCCATAAGCATATGGGTGGCCACTGTGCAAATGGAAGGCTAGGTTGGGTGGACTTAGGGTATGATCTAGCGTGACTCTTATGCTTCTAATCGGTCTTTAGGTAGTATTATTAACTTGTCCAATTGGTTTCAGAGAATCTGCTCTTAACTATGCTTAAGTCTAGATCAAACCCATAGTAAGGTTTCACAAGTTCCACAGTTTATATTTTGAATATGAAATACCTATCATTGTATTAGGGTTTAAATGTAGTTCTTACTCATTTCCTGGAACTTACAACTGCACAAAGAGTCGAAATAGACGAATTAATGGAGGATGAGCCTGTCAAAGACTAATTAGCTATGTCAGCTAAATAGAATATGTATAGAAATTCCAGTTGCTAGGGATGTATTTTGTGTGTGCGCGCGCGCATGAGTGTGCATGTATGTACATACACACGCATGCACACTCATGCCAGAGGCTCATGGGGCTTCTAGGAAGCATCTGATTAACCAATGTGAAATATGTTCTGGAACTGGATGGACCAAGGGCACCCCAGCCTGAGCTAATGTAGCTAATGATTAAGGATTGTGGGAGCTGTGTCCAATAACTCCTGGAAATAGATTCTTGGTCTGGTATATACGTTTCTTGTTCTCCCAGGGTTTTGCTTCTTTCTTTGTTTTGTCTAGGCAGTGATGCCTTCCATAAATGAGGACTTCACATTTTAGGAATCATCTTCCTACAGTTCTGTTATGTTCTAAATGGTGGGGGTGGGGAATGGAATTTATGAGAAATTTTATATTTAGAGGAAGAGGCATTCCAAACTGTTCCATGGCACACTAAAAAAAGAGGCTTAGCAGTGGATGAGGGACCATATACCTGCAAAAAACCCCATCAAGCCTCTCTCTATTTTCTAAGTGAGGAAGGTGGTCCTCAGTGGAAGAACATGGAGAAAACTCTACAAGGATAATCAATGCAGAAGGTGTTAGAAACATAGAGACAGAGCGAGTCAGAAGGGGCCTCCCAGGCCATCTAGTCTTGATATAGGAATCTAGTGTTGACATAGGAAGTGATCTTCCTTTGCTTGTATTGCCATTTTCAATCTAATTACTGTATTTCCACTTGCAATTCAGTCATTGGGAGAAGTGAGCAAAAGGAAATTTGTGGAAGGATAATATCCTGTCCCTCCTCACCCCTGCAGCCATTGGCACCATTCCCCCTGGCTCGGAGGCTAGAAGTCCAGCGCTCCACAGTGCAGAGGGCACTCAAACAACAGCAGAGCGATGGCCATCACAAAATGCTCATTTCCCAGGATGGCACTGGAACACAAGAGCATTCTGGGAAGAGCAGAACTGTGCCACTCTTTGTGGGAGGCAAGTGCAGAGGAAGAGCAAGAGTGACTTCAACTCACCAAATGCCCCTTGGGGCTCACACCTTTAATGAAGGCACTGAAGGGGCGCAATGAGCTCCTTGTCGGCCTTCTTACCACCCTGCCACACTCCTTGGCTCTGCACCCAAAAGATGGCACTATGTCAGGTGGGGTGCTTGCTGCATCCTTAGTGCTGGATGCAACAGTTGGTCCTCCAGCACGTCATGGTGGGCAGCAGCTTTGCCAGGGAGGGAGAACACTACTGCCCCCATCCCTGCCACCAAGGCTGCAGAGGGCAAAAGGGATCCTGATGTGAAGAGGGATCCTGCTGCCTGGCAAAAGGCAGAGTGAAGCAGGACAACTTGGATGGGGGCCCCCAATGGGCCCTTATGCCTGTCAGTGCTCCTGCCTGTCACCCCCAAGGCACTCTCTGAAGGATGCATGCCCACCGCCCAAATATGGAACTGAGCCCAGATACCTGCTGTGAGCAGGGACAGAGAAGGAACCCTTCCTTCTATTACGATAGAAACCCAACCTTTGTACAACAGTCTCTCAATAAATAGATTTCAAATCTTTCTTATTATTGGAACCCCCCTATAGAGTATTTTTTCTTTGCCTTTAGAACGTATAGGCTGGTACCACAAATATGAAAGTATGCCTTAAGGCACAATCCTACACAAGTTTGGACAGGGAAAAAAAGTTCTACAAGTCTCAGCTGGGAGGTAGGATTTTTTTTCTTATCTAGAGATGCACAGGACGGTGTCCTTAGGCTGTTTTCACAGGTGGTGCTTAAAATGGCTTTTTTGCCTTTTTAAATGTGCAGGAAAGGCTCCTTTAATAGAATCTGCATTCAGTTTAGAAACCACTTGCTCTATCCCATGTTAACCACTTTCACAAACAATACATTCCAGTGACTCTTGGGACACTTGCAGAAATGTCCCTGCGTGTGTGGCATCTGTCCCCATCGCCTGGATTGGCTGCTTGGCAGTACATGCATTCGAGGCTTTCAAATGCCACTGATGGATCACAATAGCCACCCTGAACCTGGGTTGCTTCTGGACAAAATTTTTACTGCAGAACTGATTTGCCTCATTCATGGTATTTACAGTCTCCAGTTTGTAGCCCTGCCATGTTTTCCTCCTCCCACCATCACTACTGCTGCTAATTTTTTTATTACCAAAGCAAAACCAGGAACCTGTTAGCAACCTCCCAAAAGATGGTAGGGATGGTTTTCATGCTTTCCGCCATCAACAGTAGGCTCGGTGGGACATGGATGGGCGAGCGCTGCCGGAGGGGCTTTGTCTCTTCGCTACAACAGCCTGCCCCTTACTGTGGCCCAGGAGATGCCACTGGCTGCATGGCTGCTTGCACCAAAGCAAATCTGTGGTGGCAAAGACCAGCGTGGTGGTAATGGTGGAGGCAAACCCACTGAGGTGGGGGGCCTACAGAGGGTGTCCAGCCAAAGGGCCCTCAGCAATCTCTCCAGGCAACACCGAGAGACCTCCATCTGGAAGTGCCGCAGGTGCTCTGCAAATGAATTCCTGCCTTGCAGAGCTGCTGGGAGTTTTGGTCCAACATTTCTGGAGGGCAACAGATTAGGGAAGGCTGGTTTATAACAGCTCGTCCTGTGTGCATTGCTGGTTTCAGCAAGGGAGGAAGCACAGCAAATGGAACAGAAACCCCCAGAGGGAACACTTAATGCAACCGGCCATGCTGCCTCTGGCCCCTGAAGCACTGCAACATTCGCAGAAAGGCAAGCTGCTAATTGCAGACAGCAGGGTGAGGTGGGGAGATGCTACTTCGTTAGTTGGTGATCCATTTTGCAGTGTTGTAAGAATGGTTTAAAATGGCTACAGAGGATTAGAAGTCCAGAGCCATGGAACAGCCCCTTATTCTCTTGTCATCAGATACAAAAACTGGATTCCTGTACACTTCATGAAAAAGAATCTGTGATTGTGAATTAGCACCTTTATAAAAGACCTAGGATTTACTTTGCACTGCCATCAGGAATATTTCCAAAGCTTATCAGCCAGCTTTGATTTTCCCAAGGGAAGGCAAATTAACTCAAGTCTCCAAGGAAAAGGTAACAAGACAGAGAGTCTGGTGGATCAACCTTTACTGCGATCCCCACAAAACTATTTGATTAATTGTAACTTGTCAAGAATCACTGTGGCACTTAATAGGTTTGTCTTGCTAAAATTATGTCACTAAATAAGATGAAGCCTGTTACAGGCCTCCATAAGCACATAACCTACACATTCTCAGTTTACAGCAAGAAATCACTCTATTGTACATATTCAATATATAATTAAAATAAATCTTCATCGTAACCTCTGCCCAGTAGCAAAATACCATCATTTCCCTTGAATAGATTGGCCTCTCTTGTATAATTTCTCAAAATCATCAGCTTTAAAACTCTTCTCTGTGGGAACTGTGTACACTCCAAAAATAAAACCCAGAAATATAACTTCACAAATGGAGTTTGACAAAGAACTAACATTGCATCATTGTTTTTCTTAGACAAATTATGCAAAATGTAACATTTCACAGGTATCTTTACCATGCAAATGCATGTTGAGTTTCACTGCTGTTTCAAACCCCAAACCACAACGAGCATGCAGATTTTTTCCAACCCAAACTACTGAGTTCTTGGTAATTGCACCTCTTTGGTGTAACCGCAGCCATTTGGGCAAGATTATACCACTTTAAGTGAAGCATACAAACAGAACTGTTTTCAGATGTATGTTTACACAATGTACACTTTACCATTAAAAATAAAACAACCTCCCCCCCCCAACTTAACATGTTACATACATTCTCAAATATATCTCTGTCAAAAGCAAAATTTTGAGGTTAAGGGGGAAAAAACCCAACACCTTTAACTATAAGGCCACCCCATTTGATATGAACAAATTTAAAAAGTTCCCACCAGTAAAAATTTCCCAATATATATATTTTCCATTTGTAACAGTCTTACCAGTTCTTTGACTCTTGCTAAAGAGCAGCTATCAGGTTTTATGTTTCTTAAATGCATAATACAGTGGGAAGTAGGATAGGGAAGAATACAGTTCTCACACACACGCAAAAAGAAGTATGACACTGTGCAACAGAAACAACCTGATATGTTGTTTTGACAAATAATTGTTCCATGGCATCCTCGCTCTTTTTGGGGTTTCTCTTATTCACCAGCGCATGGCCCATCTTCTGTTGGCATTAGTTGCATTTCCACATTCAGAATTTGAACAGCAATTCACAGGATAGCAATACATCCAACGTAGTTCCAAAAATGCACAAGAGTCACATGTACCACCACCTCTTGCTCAAGAGAAGATTCAAGTAAATGACAGCACCTTTGGACCACATCTGCAATGTAATACTCCAGTAGGAAAAGTGAATGTTGTGTATTTGCTCAAAAAATGGCAACAGCAACATTCGGACTGTTTTTCCCAAAATGTCAAGCCCTTCCCTTCCTGAACTTTATACAATGGAGCCTTTTGATGACGACAAATGAATTGACTGGATCCGTGCTGCCAACGTCCTCTGTAAATCCTGGAGTACATTTTGGCCAGAGGAGTCTCCATTCTTGTCATACAGGAGCTGTTTGAAAGCTTCGTTTTCAATGAGTACCATCATATTTTTCAGAAAGTAACCCTCACAATAGGAAGCTAGTTCTGTGACTCCAAGAAACTGAGGAGGGGAAATGAAGGTGAAGAGAGAACAAAATGAAATATGTTTTAGTTAAGCAAAGACCCAGGTATAAGCTGGAAGTGAATGTTCTGTGAAAAGGAATACTTCCAGTGTTAAGGAACCACAAGTCAAAACAAGACTCATGGGATATCTATATTCATTGTAAGATATTTATGCATAATGCTAGAGACAAAACTATCTATGGATCTTATGAGAGAGGACATGGTGCCAAGAATGGGGACTAGGAGAATGCCACAGGAGTCCCCAGTTTTACAGCTTTGCCAGTCTCCCAGTTGCTCTTTCAAATCCGGCAATAGATGATACCACCATAAAACACATTTGGGAGGAAGGCCATTGGCTCTGCTCCATTCAGATGGTTAATGTACTGGCATGGTGAAATGCAGCAGGTATCCATATGCTAGCAGTAAGCATGAATGGTACTCTTGAAAGCAGCTCTGAGCAAACAAAGAACTAATGACTCAGCAATAAGCCATTAGGAACGTCATCTGGTCATTGACTGGAGAGCTCTATTGTAGTGTCATCGCATTAGAGTACTCTAGACCAATGGACACCAGTTCTATGAGACCATGATGGAAACAAAACAAAACTGATACAGAATTGAAAACATTGTTCTACTATAGACCAGAACTTTAAACAGATTTTAAAAGGAGACTTCCCTATCCTGGTGCCTTCATATCAGCCAGCAGTGCTGAATGAGAATTATGGGAGTTGTGGCCCAACACATCTGCAGCACACTAGCTTGGAGAAGGCTGCCACTGAGCAATGCGGGGAGCCCATCTCCCAGCACATATACATCAAACTTGGCAGTTTTGTTTCCACAAAACACAAAGACTGGAATTCCCCATATTGCAGACTCAGCTAAGGAGTGGTGTGCTCAGTCTGCAGCTCACACTCATAGGAATATGCCTCCACTTTCCTTTTTAACTTTTACAAAGCCAACTGAATAACTGGAGCTTTAACTTGGAAGGTAGGAACAGATAGATCAGAGGCATGGATATTATAGAAACTGGTCATTATGATCATATGGCAAAACAATGCAATTCTTCAGCAAAGTCTTATTTGAAATAATCTGTGGACACAAAAAGGGAAGATGGAGACCTAAAGGCTGACTGCCTGTTTGAGTAGCATCTTCGTATGGAACTGATCTTCTAATGGTCAGATCAAGTTGGCTCCTCTCACAGAAGAGAAAGTCAACATTTTTCAACCTGATGACTCAATTCCATTTCAGAGAAGCTCTTAGGGGCAACTGTGGGCAACTATAATGGCAGCCACTGAGTGCAATGCCATGTACTCATCACAGCACATGAAAAGGGGCCCAGGGCACAGGATGCCCTCTGCTGATGCTAGGCTTGGTTACAGTCACTAGTGCTTAAGAGTAATGTATGCTATATTAGTAATGCTGCATTACCTTAGCATGATTATAAATATCCACACAGTTTTCTGTGTTGATACTTTTTGCACAGATGATCTCACAGTGTCGTTGCAAAGCTTCAAGCTGGAAAAACTTAGCAGCAGATAGAAGCTGAAAAGCAGAAGAAATGATTATAATAGGTTCTCAGGAGGAAGAAGAAATAATTGTTTTGTGCATGAGGGGGGCATTTAAAGACACATTTCTAATTTTCCCCTGCTGACTTCCTGCTTTTTCTTGTACAATTCATATTGTGCAGAAACAGCAGAAATGATACACCTTTGTGGTATATTTGCACCTTTGCACTGACTATACGGTATGGTGTTATCAAACTTAGAGGATCCATTGTCAGCGAATATTAAACTAAAAATAGGTCAGATCAAATGTCAGATTTCAGTAAAGAAACGGTGAAGTGCATAAAATAAGAAAACCAAAAGGTAGACTCTGTTGTTGTCATAGCTGTCAAAGAACCCAGGAGAATGGCTTTCTAATTAAAGGTTTTATTATGTGAACACTGACCAGCTAGGCTTTGAAGTATGAATGAAGAGTACTGCAGAAGTCAGTTACAAAAGAAACAAAGTTCAAATACCGGCCATTACAGACAAGCTTAATAAGAAGCTGATTCCAAAAGGAATATCTTTCTTCCCTTCCAAACTGCAATAAGTAAATCAAGCCTTCAAGAGAGATGATTTTGTTTAAAGGCCAATAGCTTGGCACATCTGACTCTTCTTAACTGGTCTGCCATCTTTACCTAATGGCTGTACCTGAAATTAATGAAGCTAGGCTCACCCAGTTCACATTAGTATGCTTATTAAACTTTCTCAGTGTTTGAAACCCAGTGCTTCTCAGTGACTCTGGCTTACCTCTGGGTCCACTGGGCTTGGAATTTCAGCTATGGATTCTAAGCCCTCTTCTTTGCCTGAGCCATCATGTTTCCAAGAGCCTTAAAGAATCTTTTGTAGGAAGAGTGGGCCCAATCCTTATAGTTGTAACTCCACAATTTCACCTCCATTTTTTTCTGTCATACCATGCTCACTGGTCAAACAGAATTTGCAGGTTCTTACAGTATGTTTATTTATTTTTCAACCTGCAAAACTTCTTTAATCATTATGTGTCAGAAAAAAGTATCATTATTTTTGGCAGAGCATCATACTGCCTTGAAACAGTTGTTTTCATTCAACCAAAATATCTCAGCAAAATGAGAAGACTAAATACAGCTTTATTACTATGATTTTTGCTTTGAACTATGTCGGTCTGGTTCAATCTTCTCCTCCTTCTTGTCCTCTAAATGTGTTAGACTAAAATTCTCATCACTCCCTGATGGGAGATGGAAGTTGTAGTCTAAAACACTGAAGGGAAACAGTCTGGGGCAAGCTGCTTTGATAAATGTATCTTTCTTTGTTCAGCTCTCCTCCTCTTTAATACTTGCTACTTCACCTTGCTACAATGGACTGATTTGTTCATTTAATGATGAATCATAACCCTTTTCTACTTCTAAGACTGCAAGAGAAGTCATAATAAAAAAAACCAACAGCCTGGAGAGGAGATCTTTCCTTTTTATTTGACTACTTATTTGTGTAATTACAGTGAGACCACACATCTTCTGTATAGTCTGAAATCTTGGCAGCTAAGCAGTGTAGGGCCTGGCAGAAACCTGGATGGGTGACTTAGGGGTTGTGAACTACCTGGAGAGCTCAGCTATGGGCAGTATAGAAATGAACAACAACAACAACATCATCACCACCACCACCACCATCACCACTGCAATTATTGGTGCAAAATGCCTCTTACCTCCATGATTTCATTGTTTTTAATGAGAAGTGACTCTGAGCCCCCACAGTAGAGATACTGCATAATAAGCTGAAACAAACCAAAGATGACAAAAAATGTAGCTGTAGTTGTCTCCCTACTCTCTACTCTGCAAGTACACTGCTTGTTTATTGTTAGGGTGATCTTTACTTCAGAGTCTGTTCCACACTGAAGTAAACAGTCACTTTACTTCAGAGACTGTTCCACACATGAGGAGGTTTATTCCAAAATGTAAGAAAGAAAAACAAACTTGTTAGAAAGATGTAAAACACCCTGCACTTAGCTTTTCATATCTGGGAACAAGCTGTTTGTTTCTAAGTGCCTCTCATACTGTCAGGACTCAGATGGAGTCAAGATTTCTTGAAAAGGGGTTCTCAATGTTAAGGTATCTTTGAGCTGTAACACTAAAAGAGTGCCACCTTCTTGCCTAGCAGAGCTCCTGTGCTTCTATCAGCAGCCTGATAGGAAGAATTCTAGTAGGCAAAGGTTTGTGCAAATGTAACAATGGAGAAAGCATCAGCTGTCATGCTCTTATTAAAGGCAAAAGGGGCCCTACAAGAAAATTGGCACCTCTTCTTTGGTACAATCACAAGATCAGTTCTCTTGATTATACATCCTGCATGCTTGTTTGTTTTCATCTCATTTAGGATATACCCAAATTGGGAATTGCTTTAGCATAAAGTTCAGAGGAAGAATTTCCTAAAATGTAGGAACAGTGATTGCAGGAGATCTCCTTATGGACATCAAACTTTGGGATTCGCTCTCTGAGGCATCTGATACATTTAAATCCACCACTTAATTGAGGCTTCTGCTTCCAGATTTTATTTGTTATTTTGCAGGATGAAGACTGGCCCTTATATGTGTAAATATAATTTGCAATTCTTTTGTTTTCCATTTGTTCCATTACACAAACACAGGGTGGTTCTACACTATAGCAGAATTACGAAAATACAAGTGTCTGATAGCTAGGCCTCTATTAGGCCTCATTATCTTCATCCTATGGAAAGCCATGGAAATGCTCAGAAAATGCAAGAGAGGCCTGCAGGATAATCAAGTTGTGTAAACTCCTGCACATACTGTGGGTAAGGGACATGAGAGCGTAATAAATGCTTCATGCAGAAAAGTGTTTTGCCTCCCGCAGACAGTTGATTCTGAACTGTAACCCTTACACTCGACCTATGCCTGGCATACAAGTAGAGGACTGATACAAGCCCAGAACAGAGCACAAGTGCCTCAGTGGAAACCCAGGATGGTCCATGAGCAAACATCCTTCACATTAGGTAATCTGATACATTAGAGTATCTTTCACCTTGAAAGCCAAATCTCATAACAGAGAAGCCCTCTGGAATGGTTGGCAGGCCCAGAGGCAAAAGGGGTGGGGCAAAAATTAAACAGCCAGTAACTAAGGCTTCGGAGAGGCTTTTCAACCTTTCAGAATGAGGAAAAAACTGCACAAAAGCCAAGAAACCATGGAATGGTCAAGGGATGGCAGAAAGACCAGGGGTCCAGGGAAACAGGGAGTGGCCTTCTGGTGAACCTACCTGGCCCCAAGGTCAAGGTTCTGCATCCCTTCTGAAACTCAAGGGAGCAAAGTCCTGACAAAAACATTGACACTGGAATTAGATTCAGAATCTTTAGAAAAAGAACTATAAAAGACAGGTCTGAATTTGTGTGAGCACACCTGCTGAAATTTCTGGAGCCAGAGGGGTTACTAAGGAGGATTTGCAAGGCCTAGGAAGGGGTCCTGTGTAAGCTACCCCACTAGTTCCCTTGACCTGCCTAACTGATGGATCTGAACATTAGGTTCCTTAACAGAGCTCAGCTACCCTGGTGCAGAATTCCTAATGTGTCAGCTCTGCACAGATCCTGCACAAGCAGTTCACAGCAGCATCAGTTATGTGCAGGACCATAAAACTGAAAACACCAATCACACGTGATCTGGCTGCAACTTCAAATATAATACAAATGTTGCTACTGAAAAGCAGTGGAAGCTTTAATCATCACTCATTCATGCCATGAATTTTCCTTCCCACTAATTGCTATCCATACACCTTACCTGGAAAATGGGATACTTCACATAGCTGATCTCAATAAAAGTGCTGTCAGATGCAGGTTTGCTGGACAACAGGGCTTTAAACCTAGGCAAAAAATATTGACAAGTACAAGTCTCTGGCTATTTCAAGTGCGAAAATAAGCTAAATTCTTAGACTGAGGTTTGTGGCTTGAACATCCACGTGGCATTTTGTCCATATTAGAAGGAAGTTACCTAACTACTGCAGCTGCTACCATAGCATGAATGTGCAGCATCTGAATGACCAATACAGAAAAATATACCAGGGTTTTGAATGGGCCCCTGCAGCAGTCTCATCAAGAATAGTCTGACCTGTACTGAGCAGTAGGTGACAATGGGCTTCTCCACATGAGGCCTTCAAACACGAGGCCTTCAAACCATTTTAACCCATCATTTTATTGAGGTTTCTGCTGATGGGTTTTTATTGGATTAAGACCAGCTCTTTTATGCTTTTTTCACAGGGTTTTGCATTGGCTGAGTCCACACAACACATCAAGCCATAGTGGGTTGATTGTTTTTGTGAAGTACCATGACAGACAATCAGGCTCACTATGTTACTTCATTCCGTTCCCTCCCTTTCTTCTTCCATGTGGCATCCCAGGGGATACTGCAGGGACAAGTTTCCCGTCTCTGACAGCTGCTATCAGAGACTCCTGCTGCACAAACAGAGCTTATTTTCGTAATACTGCTTGTGCCCTGAACTGCAATGGGGTGGGCAGAGGGGCCTCGATCAACGTCTCCTGCCTCCTGTTTCAGGGAAGAGCTCCAGACCAATGGCTGCAGAGGAGAGTGCCATGAAGCAGATTGGCAGGTCCTGCCTCCTGCCCAAGAAGTCTCCTCTTAGGCAAGAAGTGGGAGAAGACAATGCTGCTGGCACCACTGTGTTCTGCTGCCCCACCGGGTCCTTGTCCAGATGACATGATATCCCACCAATGACAACAAACCACGGTAGGTTGCTGATCTCAGCCAGATCTTTCTCTGTCTTTCTATATATTCTATTGCACAACCACAAGGTGGCACTGTAGTATAGAGGACTTGTGAGAAAGCATGACCATATCGTAGCGTTTTATAGCGCTAGCACGCAAGCTCTTTATTAGCCCATTATCTTCCTTCTACCAAAAAAAGACACAGAAATGGTCGGAGAGCATGGGAGAGACTCTGGAGGAGGATAATCATTTAAATCACCTGCAAGCTCCAACGGGTGAAGAATCATGAGCACATGGTAAATGCTTTCTGTATAGAGGCCCAGTATAATCCTCCAAGCCATGAACACTGATTCCTGCATATCACCTTCAACCAAACATGAACAGTCCAAATCCTATCATTTTTTTAAAACGGCAAACTGTCCATGCCAATGAAGTTTATATGTGGGGCAGAGGAGGAAAAGCCCAATACTTATTTGTATTATTTAAAATTTTTAAAGGTTTTGTATACTCCATCTATGCAAAATTTGGGGCAAGAAGGAAAGTGTGAACTTATTCTTAAAAACAATCAGGGCTGCAAACCTGTGCACACATTCCTGGTAGAAAGTCCCATTCAAATCCATGGGGCTTACTCCAGTAGAAGCACACAGGAGCACTGTAGCAGAAAGCAGGCTGCCTGGGAAATACAGTTGTACTGGGATTATATTGAAAGCTGAGGTTTATGTCAGCTTTCCCCAAACTGGTACCTTCTGGATATGTTGGAATACAGCTCCCACTTCATGCTGGCCAGGGATGATGGGAGTTGCATCCAGAACACCTGGAAGCCAACAGGTTAGGAAAGGTGGTTTTATATTATATAGCTATTATAAACCCCTCTACAATTTGCTGGGAGCTTCTCCAGCTTACAAAGCATTCCATATTCCTGAAATCTGTAAGCTCTCGTTGTATAACCTATAAAAGCTCCCTGCCTTATAAAATTTCTCAAACACACATACTGTGTTTTGTCATTTTTATTTATAAATACTTATTTCTACCTGGGAGATGCAGTAAACAGTAATACTCTGTGTGCATAAAATGGTCTTCCTTCCACAAGGAATGTAACATCTGACATTTCCTTATTGTTAAGAAAGTGAGGATCTGGAATCATAAAAAGAAAATGAGCAGGAAAAACATTAGTTTGCAACTAAATTAATGCACTGGCATACTTCTTTGAAATTAGTTTGAAAAACTACCCGAGATGGAATGTATTTTGTTAGATGCTTGAACAAAAAAAGTACAAAGTTATTAAAATACATTTTAATATTTTTAAAGGGGAATGGCCAGCTGCCATAGGCTGCGTTTTTGGGAAAGCAGATGAATTCTGAAGAAAAATTCTGTTCTTCTTCTCTAGTTATTCTTGTCTTTACCTAAGAATATTCCTAAATATTATGTTGCCTTTTATACTGCCGCTCCTTCCACTCGCATGGCACACTAGAGCTGTATTCAAAGTGTTCACTCACTCAAACAACAACATGAATGAGATTGCAGGGCCATGAGTTTAGACCCAGTCCCAAAGTCCTGGGACCCCTCCTACACTCCTGAAGAACCATTTCTGCAAGGGAACTTTTTCTAGCTATGGAGAGCGCCCCCCCCCCCACACACACACACACAAATTAAATTTAGAACTTGGATTTTCCAGAGTTGGGTAATGCTGAATATGGCTTTCAGGAGCTTTAAAACTGGCTTTAACTTCCAAGGTGAATAAAATTGTGTGCACAATAGCATGGAAAATGGCTATAATTTGTTCTGCTTTATCGACTGCATGGTACTGTAATTAAAAGAAAGGCTCAGAGTAAAATTTCTTCCATAAATGAACATGAGGCTCCCTCATTTTCTGCAGTCATTTCCTTTGTTCATAATAAATGAAAGCAATCAGTGAAAAATGTAATAGTGACATCTAGTTGGCTTGCTAGTTGCAGATTCTTTCCTTATGTTTCCTGTGTTATGCTATGCACGAGAAGTACAAGGAGGCAACAAAAGAGAAAGACATAGTTCTAACATTGAGAGGACAGTGGTTTGCAATATGAATAGTAAAAGTAAGGAAAGAATGCTACCCTCTCCTAGAAGTTTTGGCTGTTCCCTTTCCTCTAAGACTTATGATATTGAACTTCATGCCTGTTTTGAAGCTCAAAATATCTGGAAGGCAGCACATTGGGGAAAGGCAGTAACAGCTAAATAAGGACCTATCAAGACCAAATAACAGAGATCTACAACTGGATTCCCAAACTCTTTAAATTTTAGCAAATTACAGCCATGGAGCAAGGGCAATTCAGAACGGCACTACAGACTGAAGGCTTATAATCCTTCTGCCCCACTGGTATTTTTCAAATAAATACTACCCCCACCCCCAGCACTGCAGTTTGGAAACTCAAAGCCAAACTACATGTGAACATGAGTTGTACACAAAAATGAATTTCATCTGTTTAGAACCTTCTGCTGATCAGTCATACTGATGCCTCTGAGCTCCGGTATTATAAGAAGAATAATTTCTCTGTACAGTTCAGAAGTTCTGTAAAAAAAAAAAAGATCTGCATACAAAAATCACATGTTTTTAAAAGTGTGGATTGTGATGTGAAATGTTAAACACGGATATCTGGAAGGCAAAATATCAGTCTTCTGGAAGAGGTCCAGCTTCAGGCTCTGGTGTCCACCAAATCAAAGTACATCCCTAAGCTGCAGAGCAGTTGATGTATTTCATGGGTGGTTTCCTGAGGCAACTGGTGGTCCCTGAAAGCTGGACTAGATGGACCCTTGCTCTGGCCCAGCACGTCCTTTACATCCTTAGAGTGGGGGCCAGCTACAACTCCAGGAGGACTGCGTTCTGTACTTTGGGAGCAGCACAGGAGAAAGCTCTTTCCTGCCTGCAGTTGCCTGACAAGTTGGCCTCCACAAGTGGGAATGTCTTCACAAGGACCTTTTCTGCTGACCCTGAAAATTGAGCAGGTTCATATCGAAACAGGCAGTCTCTCAGATAGGTAGGCATTACACTATATAGAGGTGTAGATACTAAATATGGTGCTTTGAACTGACCCTGGAAAACAACTGGCATCCTTTTAATATTGGAGTTATGTGATCATGCTATCACACACTGTCACCCAGTTGCTGCACGTTGCATCAACAGAAGTTCCAGCTGTACTCCAACGCCAGGCAGAGCATATTACAATATTCTGTGAAATAAACATTTTCACTATCCTTGCATCTTGAAAAACACATGACTTAAATGTCATTTTGTCCTCAAATGTCTTGCACTGTAATCTGCTCAAACTGAGTAAAAGGGAATAGCTTTGTGACTGAAGAAACGGTCAGCCCAACACCACAGTTCAAATCCAGCTGCTGCTGAGAACAAGATTTCCCCTAAACTTGATCTGCGTGTAAAGGATACAGACATACAAAATTAAGGCCTCCTGTGCTTCTGCTGCAGGCATACAACTAAGTGCATGTACATCTGAACACCAAACCTGGTTGTCTCCAGCAAACTGTCTAACATAATGGATTTTGTCTGGAATGCTACGAAGTAAATGCTTTGCAACCGACTGGGGGTTGCTGAGGGTTCCATTTGACTTCATTTGTGCAAAATGTCCTTGCCATGGTTAAGGCATTTTCGTAGTTATCTTAATTTCTTCCAGTGGCCAAACTCCCATGAACCAAAGAGTGTCACACAAGAGCCCGGCTACCACATACTTACCTAAACGAGAGGTCTGCTTGCGTTTGATTTCAATGAGCTTGGGAATAGGATATGGTCCATAGCAGTGAGTGAAAATGACAGCCAGTTGTTGACTTATCACTTCATTCTAAAACAAACACAGATGCAACAAAAATAAACACAAAAGGCAGGCACAATTTGAGAAGTCACTTTGAATTTCCTGAACAGTGCATGCTCACGGGGTCCTGAAAGTGCAAGTGCAAACATTTCAGGGGATTCTTAGCCACTTTGCCATCATCTTCTGGAACTGGCATAGGCTGGCTGAATAATTATGGGTATTGTAGTCCAATGTATCTAGAGGGCACCAGGTGGAGGAAAGCTGCTAGATACTCCTGCTGCAATGGAAGTTGGCCGACCAGAATGCCAGGGGATGCTGCATGGATATATCCTAAGCACAGAGTTGCTGCTACTTCACTCAAGAGCTATGGCAGCACTTCCGAGTGCTCCCATGCTCCATGACGAACTTCTGGGGTCTGTGCCCTTTCTTACACTTTTGCCAAAATGGCAGCAAGTGAAACTAAAGACAGCAAAGATGGATCTCCAAAGCCTTCCATCAATTGAGGATTCATGGAGAACTTAAGACAACCTTGGCAGGATGACATCTTAGTGGTAGAGCCCATGCTTTGCAGCAGAAGTGCCTGTGTTTGCTATTAAATAACATATTTATCCTGCTCCTCTGGAGTGGCTTATACATAATCAGTAAAAGGAAGACACTTGCTGCCCAGAAGTTTACAACTGCAAGAGACACAACACACAAAGGAAAAGGCAAGTCTTTCAGCAGGGCAGGTGGGATGCTGCTGCTTCCCCTTATCTCCTTTAGACTCACTCCCTGGCATTTCCAGTTACATTTCAACTATTAAAAGGATCAGAGAGCAGGAAAGACACTTTGCTGCCCAGAAAGTTGCTGCTAGCCTAGTCCAGATGGTCCAGTGCTAGTCCAGATGGACAAATAGTCTGATCTTGGAAAAGGTAGGCACCTATATTGATGTGCTAAAATGGATTTGAGAAAGTTTAAAGAGAGAATTGCCCTGTCCAGGAAGACCTAAGGCTAACCTTCTCTAAATGCTGCATTGCAACATCTAAAACAAGGAGTACTTGAAAGGCATCTTCAGTACCTGAGCTTGATGTAAGAGTTTCAGGTTGCCAAAAGAACTGAAGCACAATGCCATGGACTCTTTAAAAAGTCCAGAATTAGGCAGATGCTAAAAAAGAAAAACCCATAAGGCCAGACTGTACTCTTTTGTAGTGTGTGCACCTCCTTCTGTCATCAATGGAAACTGATCAGATGAACCCAAGGGCAGACTTTTATTTCTGCTTTCCCTTGATATGATGCCACCCAAAACCCAGTTTCTGCTACATTTGCTCACCAAGGAACCTTGAGACAGGCACTTGCAGCTAGAAAAAGCTTATTTACAGACATCCTGGCACAGGGATTGTTATGGACTAAAACAGCAGGAAAATTTTCAGTTTCACTTCCAGAAAATAACTAAATTGGACTCCATGCATCAAAGCATTTTGAAATAAAAAAGCACTCTTCATACAGAACACTAGAGAGCACTCCAGAAAGGAAGCGAGTGAAACAGCACTAAAATTTGCAAGTAAAAAGGAAATACAAAAAGGATCTGACTGTGCCTAGGGAGTAAAGGAAAGATGGGGGCATTGACAGGAAGTACGTGACAAAAAATGATACAGGAAGAATGGTCACTAAGGGAAGAAAAGGAATGGCAAAAAATGCATGTTGTGGGTGAATTTAGATTTACATGAAGGAGAGGGGGACCCATGTGCCCCTTGGAAGATGTAAAGGCCAAAAGTACCGTACAGTGAACTCTCTCCTACATGCATCTCCTTCAGACACCCATTTGTGGAGACCACTTTTGAAAGATTGCTTTGTGGGAAGCTAAACTGTTAGGGGTGAAATGTTAAAGGTGTACCAACAGTCCCTGAACAATTGCCATAAAGCCTATTAATTTGTTAAAAATTACTGTGAGAAAGCATCATCGCCATAAAGAGAGGAAGCAAAAGGGGAGAGAGGGAGATCTAGGAAGCAGGCCTTCCTGCCCCACCCACTCAGAGAGGGAAATCTCTCCAGAATTATCTTGCTGCAAAGAGGCGGCACTGGTGAGTTTGGATGGGAGGAGAGTCTAGACATAGTCTCAGTTTCTCCACTTCTGTAGGGGTCCTGCGTCCCTAAGAATGTGGAGGGCTGACTATATGTGATCTGACTTGCATATTATGAAATTGTAAAAATGTCAGAAATGAAATTAATGGGACACAAAGCTAAGAAAAGTGTTGCAGGACGTAAACAGAGAGCACTCCATTGTTCGGTCTTTTACTTTTTTGGAACCAAAGGATGGCTCATCTCTGAATCACACAGAACTCTTTATTCTTCTGACTACCTTTCGAAACTAAACTGCACCAGCCAACAGGGGGATATCCACATCGATACTGACAGTGACTGCAGCCCTCCTCCTCTGCCTTCAGCAGTGGTCACTCAACACTTGAGCAATCTCCTACTGCTTTGTTCCAATCAGACATTTCCAACAGGAAGAAATTACTCTTCTCCCTCCTTCTGCAGACTGAGAAATGAATTGATCTGCACATTAAAAAGGCAAAGTGATTCATGAGGACACCAAGGGCTTGGACTGGTCCTTAGCCAGTGCGGCGTCATGCTTCTCTGGTCATCTGATGCTGTTACCATAAAAAGAAAGTCTGCTCAGGTCCTCTCAAGTTCTCTTTGGGGAGAATCTCCTGAAGGTCCTCCAGCATAATTCAAGTGTGCCCTGCATGTAAAGCAATTAAATGTTGCTTTGGAAGGCTGCTCCCATGCGATTACAAGTTGCACAAATTATTGATATTAATCAATGCTTGTGAGCAAGGGATGCCCAGGAGCTGGGAGCTGGTTTAAAGCCCTTCCTCAAAGGAGCACAATTCATCAGAGGAGCTGCATGAATGTTTCCCTTGGTGACACCTGGGAAAAATGCCAAGACTTTGTTCTGAAAGGGTTTTTTTCAGACCTGTGTTATCCAGAGCTCAGATCCAGGAACAGAATCAACGGTCTACAGGTATGAGACCAGGAGAGGGCACACAAGTCCTAGCATTAGTGCACCTTGGTTCCAACCCAGGAACGGTCCCTAATACCTCCTATTTATGAAGGGGTCTTTATGAAGCCACTATTTAAATATCCCTTCAGACATCTTATGATTAATGGTTTAAGTGCAAGATAATCCAATCAAATCCAGGGTTAATTTCCAGATAAATCCATGCTGCTGCACACAAATTTCATATGACACAGGTTTATTGTGCATTACAGTAGCATGCCACACTGGTGTACCTGATGTTCACTTCTCATATGGAGAATGCAAGATGCACATTTATGAAGGTTTCGGGTCTTGGTTACTCTGAACTGTTTAGACAGAAAAGTGCTGAATGTGATGACAAGTACCACTACATGCCACATAAGCCCCCAGCATATGGAAGAATCCACCTTAGGAAAAAAAGAATCATGCCACGGATGATGCAAAGGGCCCAATCAGGAGGCAGAGGTTGCTCTGTGCCTCAAATGCTGAGAGCGCTGTAGCAGGCATTTCGTCCATTACTTCTTTGAAATGGAGCACTCTTTTTCTCTGGATAATGCATGCTTCAGTCATGTATTACATAAAACAAACAGTAATCATACAAAATGATCCTACTAGAACTCTAGTGAAGTAGCACAGTGAAAGAAATTGTGTTCTTTGAATTACTATACTTCCAAAGTATGTAAAAATAATGGATTTTTAAACAACTATACTAATTAACCCCACTCCCAAATGGGACTTTTATATCAATACGTTCCTGTTACTGCTTGTGAAATGTGCAAAAGTAAACCAGACTCTTTTCTTTTCAGTACCAAGCCAAAACCTTTTTATTTTCCCATTATTTTAAATGTTAATTGTGTTTTTATTTTGGATTTTGTTAGTGATGCTGTACCATATTTTTACTTTTATTTATTTATTTCATGGTGTTGCTACCCTGAGACATTGTGAAGAGCAGGATACAAGAACTAAAATAAAATAAAAATTTAAAAATGCAACATCTTATTGACACATTTTTCTATTTCAGGACTGCAGAGGGGTGAACAGTGGTCAGAATTCATTTGCAGGAGGGCTGGCCTAAAGCAATCCCAGCAGCTGATTTCACTGCATTCAAGATGGGAATGAGGTGAACTCTGCTTTCCCATACGTGATTTGGCATGGATTTTTGACAGGGAGGGAGGGAAGGCAAACCTCAGGGGGTGTTAGTACTTACTTGCAAACTGAATTAAGAAGTGGTGAGGGCTTCTTTCTGTCCTTTCCACCTTTTACACATTAAAAAGCCAAGTTGTGGCTTGGCTAATACCTCAACAATTCCCCATTGGTTCTTATCATTTCCTTGAGAATGCCTGATTATGTAGTGTCATTGCATCCACAAGGCAATTCCCCTCTCCATACCCCGATCATACATGAAACTGTCTTCACCACGTGGTTTGGCAATTAAAGATGTGAAAGTTTAGAAACAGTTTGAAACCTTCCCGAAAGGCCCTATTATTCCCACCCCTGAACAGAAGGTATTGGAACCATTTTTTATCCCTCCATTTTAAGGAGGGTTATACAAAGTGAATTTCTGAAGCAATTCTATGCATGTTTGGAAGAAAAAGGCCATAAAATTGCTAGCTTATCCCAGCTAGCAAACACAGGATTGCACCATTAATGGTTTAAAACTGAAATCCAGGAGAAAGCTGCATTTAACTCAAGGGAAGCTTTGTCTAAATAGACACATCCAAGACTGGACCACATTGTTAAAGTGGGAAATAAATTTATGTTTGATAAATTAGTTGATATATCATGTAGTTCAATCAACATGTAATTCTGATCAAATTTTACCCCCTCCATTTTTGGAGGGGTGGAAATTTTCCTCTCTAATGGAAACACCCCTATACTTTATTGTAGTATTGCATTTCCAAAAGAAAATGCTTCATATTTCTCTAAAGGAGAGATTCAGAATCTGTGCATCTCTTTGTCTCAGGGTTTCTCATAGAATTTCAAATGGTCCTGGAAAAAAATTCCCAGTAAACTTCCAGCGGGTGTTCTCAGCAAGCCAAATGAACTGTTAACCCTTCTCAAAAATATTTCACAGGCAGGAACAGAAATACGAAAAAGGATATTCCTTGGATCTGAGATCTGTCACAAAAATCTGAGGAAATGCAAACAATGCCCTCCTTGTGCCATTCTAAATAGCCAGTGAGATAAAACTATACTCTCAGCTCATGTGCTTATCAGTCTCTCTTGCCAGTATTTTATTGCGTGACTGGAGTGACTCTTAGCTTCACTACAAGGCTTTTGCTTCTGTAGTCTCTCCGGCTCACTGTCAATGTCAATATTAAGCTGTCCTTGCAGGAGATGGAGAGCACCAACCCTCCTTTTAAAAACCATACATCCAGAGTGGTGCATTTGGGAAGCAGGAGTTCAGAAAGTGGCTGACATCCTGAAACTACACCATGTTCAGCAGTACAGGAATGTGTGCTGTGTTCACACAATGCTTCCTCTCCAGTCCCTCCTCCACTTCCATCCTTCATCATTTGCACTTCCATCTCAGGCAGCAAACTATGTATTGTGAGTCACAGCCCGAAAACAGAGTGCACTCCCTAGCCTGAAACTCCAACACAGAAACTACAAAAGGGGTGAGCCGCATGCTACCCCTGGCCTTTTTATGGTCTCCCCCACTATAAAGCTGCTCGGCCCCCGTATCTGCTGCTGAAATTTGGTCGTGTGGCAGTGCAAGGTGGAAATTTCATGAAGACAAGGTGTGCAGGAAGTGCAGTGCTTGTTTTAAAGCAAAACCACACTCCATGGTCACTTTTAGTAGTGCGGTCACCAGCATAAGAGAAGGCTTTGGCGAATGGGGCGGCATAAAAATGTTTAAATAAATAAATAAATACATACATACATACATACATACATACATACATACTTTCCACAGACCTTGTCTGAAAGAAGAAAGCACTTTTTTTCCAAGAGACTGAATTTCAGCAGCAAATTTGGCGGCATTGCAGCAGTTCCAGTAGCAGCAAAAGTAGATTGTGTGTGTGTGTGTGTGTGCACGCACGCACGCACGCAGCTCAAAGTGGGTTGCAGGGGAATTCCTCCGCCCACTGCTAGAACATGCCTATTCCAGAACTCTGGGATGTAACTAATGAAATAATGAGCTTGAAAGGAGAAGGGAAAGGGTGCTTGGCTTTTGTGAACGGAAAGCTCTGCTATGTGATGCCAAACCATGACTTGTTACATGTGAATTGATATACTACGTGTATACTTCAGAGCTCTGGATACTATCCTCTGGATTTTTGATGACAGCATTTCTATTTATCGGACCGGTGATATTTGATTATCTACTTATATAAAGACTGCTTTGCTCAGAAACTGTGATGCTTTTAGTGCTGCAAACCTCATGTTTTGTTGCAGTTCAATAATTTTACCTGACTTTAATTTGTTTGTGCTTTGTAATATAAGCAATGTAGAGTGTTTATAAACAAAGAGCAGGAAGTAATCACCACAATCATAATCGGAGTAACTGTTGAACAGCAAAGGCCACAATTTTACCTACCTTACTTGCCTTCAAGATCTCAATCATCAAAGGCAACCCTTGTGTGACGAGTTCTTCAGTGTATTCTTCCTCCTGAATAGATTTAAATTCTTTCAGCAAGCACTGGATGAGAGGTCTTCTGTGCTGTTGAAAAGCAGTTCGCAAGGATTCTAGCCATGTGTGGAGAGTCCATGGGACACCTGTTTAAAGTAAAAGCAAACCCAAAGGTTTGCATGCATCTCAAAAATCCAGGGTTTGATCCAAGATAGGAGGACCCTATTATGACAGACCATATTCTCAATCCTTCACATTGTGTACTGTTTTCCCTTGCTAGAGTTGCCATCAGGGTCAATGTCAAGGGTTGGTATCATTGGGCCTCCCCTTGTGGGAAGATGGTTCTCCTTTGAGCTTAAAGGAGAAGGAAAATACTGGGCAGAGGCAACAGTGGCATAGATGAGGAGCTGAAAAAGCAAGAGGAGGAGGAGAACGTGGACCCATTCTGAATGAACACCCCACTGAGAGCTTCTTGCTTGAGCACCCCAACAAAAGTTGGAACTCACATGGCTCATGAGCTGTACATCCTTACACAGCTGCATATCCCTATATTCGAAAAGCTTGTGGCCTTCCAGCCGGGCAACTCCCAGGACTAAATAGATCACTGTTCTTCCTAGGTGAGCAAAGCAATTGATTTTCTGTGCTGCTGGGAACCTTGTACTATTTCTATACATGTTCTGCCCACATCAGAACACGGTATGGCGTAACTGCTATGGGGAGAGAGAGAAAAGATCCAACTCACCTGAGCAAGAATGGAAACAACACTCATTCTGGGTGTTCTTCAACCCCAATTATTTGGTGCTAACCACTTCTCCATTTAAGTGGGAAGGCCCATTTCTATGCATAACATGTCAAAGAAAACCCCAAAGGGCAGTAACCTATTTTGCCTGACACCAGAGGGAAGAACCACCTGCACCTCAGGGAATCAATACTTCAGAAAGCAAGCTACAGGAACTCTGCTGACCTGACTCAGTCTGTAAATGAGCAATGCTGCTGCTCTGAGGCTTGGCTTTGGGAAGGGTCGAATCCCCACTGCAGAATACTCCATGTGTTTAACAAATTCCCTATACAGCTGTTTATTAATTACTGATGGGTTGAACTTTTACTCTTGAAAAAGCATTGTCCTTGAAATGGGAATAAAACAGTTTTCTTCCTTTACAGCAGCCTTCTTTGTTTTTCTTGAAATTGTGATGTAGTGTTTGATAGTTCTTTTTATCTAGGGCTCCACGGAGGGCTGGAAGCTTTCCTTCACAAGTAGTTCCTCATCTAGACAAAATCACTCTCGAGGGCCAGGGGATAAAGGTTCCTCTGCTCTAAAGTGGAAAATTGGCAAGAGCAGAATATTGGCTGACGAAGGATCAGCTTTACATGGAAGGACTCTAGCCTCCAATGTCAAGAAGAGCCCTCTCCAGCCAAAGGCTGACTTTTGAGTCAGCCTGCCAGCCTGACACTGGCTACTACAATTGGATACACTGGTTTAAAATTAATCATGTAATCATCTTTGGGTCACTTACAAAGGTGCCCCAATCATCCAGGCAGCTGCCTATTAATTAAGTAATGGATTATTTCAGTAATTTATTTAGATTTCTAGATTGTACTCACATGAACAGCCCTATACACAATGCCCGCACACGCCAGCTACCCTTAAAGTCTGCTGGCCAATGGATGGGGCCAAAGTGTGCTACCCTTCAGCTCTGTAGCCTCAGGATGGATGGTGGATGGAGCCAGGTGTTCTTCCTGGCTGGGAGGGGTTAGCAAGATGCTCCTTCTTTGGCTGCTGGGCAGGGCCAGGCCATTCTGCCCCAGACCATAATCTTCTTCAGCCTCTCTGTACCACAGCCCTCCTGTCTGGTGCTAGAGGCCAGATGGTGCTTCCCTTTGGCTCTGTAGTACATATTTGTGAATCAATGATGGAGCAAAGAACCCTTTTCTTCCCTTTTCCACAAGGGAAGGAATGTCTTTTAAGATGGTATCTGCTGTGACTCACACATACACTTAAATTCAATAAAAGCTTCTTTTCTGCAGAACGATTGTTTTACTTGCATGCAAAAGTAGGCAGATTTAATTTATTTTGCCACTGAGAGTCATGCAATTAAGTGGCTAATATTTCATCATAGAGACTTTGCTATTTAAAAATAATTTATCTGCTGCACTTTGGGCATATGATGTGTGTGCGCATGCACATGCATATGTACATGCATGCACATGTATGCATGCAGAGTACCAATGCATAATGTGCAGTGCAAAAACCTCCTCAGCCAGAAACTTGAAACGGAAGAAAAAGTGCAAGGGGAGAAGTGACTTGAAGAAAAATTGAGAGAGAAAAATTGAGACAGAGAAGATAAGGCAAGAAAAAGCAGCACTGTGGACCGTTCCTGATTTTGACGTTTGCACTGGTCCTTCCACTGGTCATGACCCAATTTTACTGAATATCTTATGTACCATCATAGTCAATCTGAGCCGTAAAATTGATATTGACAAACTCAACCCCCAAATTTCTACAGAATTCACAGGAAATTAAGAAAATCTAGCCATGCTGTTAATTTCTTTTTAACATTCAAATTCTCCTGCATCCCCAGACACATCTGAAACTTGCCTGATGTCTGCCTTGACAAGAACTCAAGAAGAGATCCGAAATGGTCAGTGCAAATGACAGAGGTCTCTCCCTTCATGCTACATTTCTGACAGTTCTCTCTCATAGGATATACTGCATGGAGGAAACCAAAACTGACCTATGCTCCTGATGTCAATGGTTACATCCACGTAGCCATGCTCAGCACTGTGATACATCGCCTCTTTCAGAGCTTTCAGTCTGGCTTTGCTGTTGCGGCTGGCACATAATGGGGCTGGTGCATTGTCTGCCAAGTCACTTCCCTCAGCCAGGATCTCCTCCAGGGACAGGATATCACTCTTCTCCTTCTCTGGCTGAGCAAGCAGCTTGCGAAACACATTTCTGTCAATCATAGGGCAGAAGAGAGAGGGCAGGGGGAAAGAAAGGCAACCAGATTGGAACTGTTAACAGCAAAGCCAGTGCTATCCAATCATCTAGCTAGGGTTAAATCTAGTTAGTGTACCTAACCAGATGCTGTTGCAAACCTGATTTCAAGCAATGCCCTTTTTATTTTTGCACAGTATAGTATATTTGGGCCTACAGCTGCAAGTCCAGCATCCAAAATGAAGACTCCACACTCTGTTCATCAACAGGGTTATATCTTTGTGGCTCCATTAAGGTGCAGTGAAGTCACTCCCAATGATTGAACTGTTTAAAGCAATCAATCAAATCCAATGTGCATCTTCTCCCTTACCTCCCACCTACCTTATACGCTTACATCTTGCTAGCTGCACATGTTCAGTCCTGTAGGGGATAGAATAAGCAATGTATCCACAGCAGATGGGCCAACAAATGTGTGTGTTTAAAGGGAGATGGATTATCTTTCTCCTGTTAACTGCAGTGATGGGTGCATTGTACCATAAGATGTAATAAAGGAAAACATATTTGATAACTCAGATGATAACTCATTTAAAGAGACACTAGAGTGCATTCCTCGCCCTGTGTATGAACTGGCTTCCTCTTGGCTTGGCCATTTGCGTGACTAATTGAAACATCAATGCTGGGTCTACCACTGCTCTTGCTTCACCCTCCCAAAACATCAGGTAGATTTCCAGTCTTCCAATTCCTAAAACACTGCATATACCAAAATATATCTAATCAGTTATTTATATGTTCACATTTCATATTTTTTCTAATGCAAAAGTGCTCTGGGGTTCATATGCCTTGGTGACATTATAGGCACAAGGCAATCAGCATCAATTCACAGCCAGCTTGAAAGAGTGCAAACTTGAAGAATCCCGTTATTCAAAGCCTGGCTCTAGAAAGGTGGAGGTAGGTTTGAAGTGATATGGTGAGGGTGCTTCCAAACTGTCCCTTAGCTTAGCCAAAATGAGGCTACATCAAATTCTTACGCCACAGTAGAATGAAAGACATTAATTTTTCCAGCAATTCTATACAGAATTTAGCATAGAACTGAGTACCTGGCACATAATTTTAAACCTGAGATTTTACAAAGCTTACTTTGTACTCAGCCATAAAGAAAGCTGTGTCTACTAAGAAATCCTATGAAATCCCCAAGTACATAGAGGGTTATGTGTGAATTCCCTTTTGTAGACAAATTGACCAAGTATTTACAAATATGTGTGAACAATTCGCTATTTTATATGCTAACCATGTATTTGGCATGGTTATTTCCTTCACCTCTCCTCCACCTTAAACTTAATCCTTTGGATTCACCTCTTCCCCTGTTCTTTCTCCAGCCCATATAATTTAGTCACCCCTACTTCTTAAAGCAAATCCTAGAGCCCCATATGTCTTTATCCTTTCACCTCACTGCTTTATCCAAACTTTGTTGATCTTCTTTATGTATTTACTTATGGATCTCAGTGGTCCTTCAGTGTGAAGAGCTCAGTCCTGTATCTCATATTCTCCCAGTGCTTCACACCATTTGCTAAGCTGGTCATATGTGCATTGGAGGCACTTTTGAGAATTCTCTCTTTTGTAGCTGCCAAGAATCCATAGCCACCTGTTTCTTTGCCTGCCAGCAAAACCTCTTTAAAAGGAGCTCCTGGCGCTGTACACAGCCACCTCAGATGGTGCATCACCAGAGCCACCGGCTAGAGCATCTTTCTACATGGGCAATGATCCCTTGGAACTTGATTGACTGTGCTGCTGGGCTTCCTCATCTGGGATAGGTGTGAAGGCTTCCAATTTAGACTAGGGCTTTGTCTGGGCAATGACAATCTTTGCTATGTCTGACTTCTAGCTTCCTCCTGCCTGCAAGCAGGGAAACAGAGATGGCTATAGCCTGTCCCCAGTTGTTCATCCACAGCTCTTGAATTTGAGGTACACTGTCTGGGTTCACATGATCAGAGAAGGAAAACAAACATCAGTGGCTACTTTTCTCCACCTTGCAGGTGCCTGTCTCATGGCACCTTGTTTCCATAATTACCTGCACCATGCAGGGGTTGCTTGTGTTGCCCAAACCTAATAAGGGTAGGTGGTAGGGATGGTTTGCAAAGCCAAGCTTGCCACCCACTTTGCCAGGTTCAAAGACACAGCAACTCATGCATGGTGCAGGGTTTTATGGAAACGAGGTGGCATGCAAGCACTGTGCACAGAGTTGCCAAAGAAGCTGCTGGTGCTTCATTCCCCTCCTTGATCAACTGCATCTAGTCACTGCCTCTGAACATGCATGGGGGCTCCATTTAGTGATTGTGGCTAGGAGTCACACCAAAGCCTAGCCCAACCTTTACCTAACCTGTTAAAAAAATAAACAAACTGCATTTGGAAAGCACACTTACGCACTTAGAAATAAACATATGTGCAGAAAATTCCATTTACACATTTTGTACTGTTTTACACCATTCCATACCAATGAGCATTCGGCCATTTCACAAGCACTACTCCAACTCTACCTGTGTCCATGGGCAGCAGCCTGGCTGAAGGAGTTCATATCACCTTGAGGAGTCATGGAAATTCCATTCCTGTACATGGTTCCAATCATGGGGTCCGCCCCTCGCTCCAAAAGCAGACTAACAAGTTCAAAATTTCCTGTAAAGCAATGAGTGAGGTTTTTTTTTCTTTTAAAAAGGGTTTGCTCCTAACTTCTCCTCCATCAAATGTTCTTACAAAAGTCAGTTTTTCATGGTATAGTAAGAAAATCCTTACCAGCTGCTGCTGCTAGCTGCAAGGGAGTTTCAGAGTAGTTTTCATCACCGTGCTCCAAAGAGCCTTCTACTTTGGCTCCAGCATCCAACAACAGCTAAAAAGGAAATCCACCATTTAGAATTGCTGATCAGCAAGAACGTGTGGGGTCATTTGGTGCAGAAGGACATTCAGCAGGCTTATGTTCCTGGCCAACTGACATTACGACTCGGCCATCTGACCTCCAGTGCTGCATGAGGCATGGCAAAAGGCACTGGAAACAACGTGGTGTCACACTCACCCACCTGCTTTACTGACTCAAGGGCTTAAAGTCTTGTTCCTCAAGGCTTTTCTACATGAGGCATTCATAGGGAGCTCATGATTCCTCTCATGGAAGTTTATGGGGTTTTTTCACAACAACATCTTTCTCCAGGGCATCTCCCAAAAATTTCCAGCCACATTTATGTCTTTTTTTGAAGCAAGGAAAGTCTGTCATTTTCCTAAATGGCACCATTTTTTGCTAGACAAGCCTAGTAAATTTCTGCAGTTCTGTTCTATGCTCCAGTGTCAGCACAGTAGGAATGCATGGGAAGGCAGAGGGGAAAAACTCATGTGAAGAATGCTACAATCCTCTCACAGTGACAATGGAAGAAGAAGCCTCAGTCAAGTAGAGAAGACTTCCATGCTTCAGCTAGAGAAGACTTCCATGCCAGCAACCACCTTTCTCTTCCATTATGCCACCACAAATCCCGCAGGGCAGAAGACCTGCAGGCCCTGGTGCCTCAGAAGCAGAACCCACCATACTGCAGCCGCTAACTTGCATTCACCACTACCACTCTTAACAATGGGCCAAAAGGTCCATTGTCCTTTTTGTCCTCCTTCTCACAGGGTGTTCCCAAAACTGGCCTGACTACACTCAGCTTCCCCTTCATCCCAGGAAATGTACTTTGATGCCCTCACTAGCTGGATCCACACTTGCATCAGTCAGCCTCCTGCCTCTTTTCAAAAGCCCCACCCAAGTATCTAAGGACCATGAAGGCAGGTGGCCGCCTCTGATCTACCTCAGCCGTGCTCCCCTTCTTTTCACGTAAACTTCCATTTGACTTTCTTGTAGAAGAGGGAGCTATGACTTGGTATCATTTAAAGTGCCTGGGAAGCTATCAGCTGGACTTGAGAGAGATAGTGGGCCAAAATGGACATGCCTTTAAGTTGGCGTCTATGTTTTTTGTCCATTCCCCTCCTACCCCACCGAGTAAGCACACGCTTCCAGATCTGAACCCCCACCCCAGTAGGTTCCCAATCAGAACCGTGTGTGTGTGCATGTGTGCACACCTATTCTAAAGTAAAAGTGAAAATGGACATGGCTGCTTTGACACAAATGTACAGCAAAGTTTGTTTTGACCTATGCTTTTTATGGGTTCAGGTGGCTTGTCGTGAACTGGGAATGGTGAACCGCGACAAGGGTAACAGTGAGAGATTAAAAGGTTTACAAAGTGCAGCAGCCGTCACAGTCCCTGCTGTGCCTGTGAGGAAGCTCCTGAGCACTCTGCCATGGGCAAAAATGACAGTTCAAGGCAGCACCACACCAGAAATCCAGGCTTGTGAAAAAGACATCAGATCAGACAGAAAGCAAAAGTTGATTCACCCATTATTTCCTCATCCTTTGGGTAACCCACACTTATTATCACAGAACAATTACCATAGAAAAACCCGGCTACATAAACCTGTGTGCATTATTCACAAAGCACAGCACTTCATTGCCATGCATGTGCTCAAATGCTGTGGGAACTAACAATCCCTGGCAACATGACTTCCATAAAGTAGATGTTACAAGGGAAACAACTTGTTTGTTTCCAATGTCAATCCAAGGAAAACGTCTCCTCCCCACAAAGGAATACAGAAAGTTGCCTGAGTCAGACCACTGGGCCATCTAGTCTTGTACTGTAAACACAGACTGGCAGTGGTGCTCCAGGGCTTCCAATACATGTTTCCCTGCCCTAGATGGGATCACAGCTGAAACATCCTCCTTTCAAAACATGGGCAATACCCCTGAGCTATGGCCCTTCCCACCCACCTACAGGGCTTTTTAGAGGGTACAATAAATCTGTGGTCGAAATAAAAAGAGTCAAAGGTGTGGGGGACAAATGTTTCATCCTTTGTTTATTTAAAACCAAGGTAGTGTACTTCTATTTACTCAGATCACTGGCCTGTGCAGCCCAGGACTCTGTGCTACAGAAGAAGCTCCCCACATTCTCAGGAAAGGTTCTTTCCCAGCAGCTGCTGCTGGAGATCTGTTTCACTGAAGATGCCAGGGGCTGAGCCTTCTGCATGCAAACAATCCACTGCTGTTGCTTCAAGTAAATAATGAAGTTCTTGGCAACAATTCAATGGTTAACCATTCAAAAAATCCAAGGTTCAGAAGTATAAAATATCCCTTTTCTAAGGGAAGTAACAACAACCCCAGACAAAGATAGCAAAGGGGAAAGAATCAGGAACTCAGATCTTCAGTTGCAGAAAGGAGAGCAGGGCAAGGGACTTATGTGCCACATGCCTCACTCTATACCTCTTTCCATTCTCCAATCAGGTTTTCCAATCACAGCATTTTAAGATGCAGGGGAGACATTTAACAGGGTTCTAGGCAAAGTAATGCAAATTGTGTCTTCTATCTCAATCACATGGACTATCACCAATGATGATCTCAATCAGGTTTAGGCTATTTGATTAAACTACACAGAGTTACCAATTTCTTTTTTATTGCAGAGATATGGCTGGAAGATGTGAATCTTGTCTGGGGACAATGGAAGCCCCATGTACATGAAACTACAGTCCCAAGGGGAAATAGTTACTGAGATTGGCAATAGATTGCACTGCAAAGCTACATGAGTTGTGTAGGACTGAAAGTTGATGGACGTCACAGCCTACAACAGTCCCATGGGAGGCCAGCCTTATCTGCTGCAGGAACACACAGAAGAAATGTGTGGAATGCTGATGTTGGATATGCTGTACAAGGACATTCTTTCACCACAAACTAAGATTGTGCAGACACACCTGAACAGGGACACTTAACATAAGAACTGCTATCCTAGATCATAGCCAACCAGGAGAGCACGAGATAACTCTTACTGCTACTGATTAAAAGACATGCACTTGACCGCCTCGGTGGTTTTTTTGTGTATATATAGAAAGAAAAGAGATAGCATAAACAATAGGAGAATATAGGAAGTTTATGAGTAAAAGATGACACCTATGCCTCCCCTAGAATTCCATAAATAAGGCAGGGTGATGGTGTGATAAATGCCTTATCTAGAAGAATTCAAAGATCATTCAGCTGCCTCTCAGAATCTTACAAACAGGGCATCATGAAGATTTGGTGCTTGTCCCCAGCATCTGGTAAGAGGAGGGACAGTGTCCTGTAATGCAGGTACCCCATTTTAGTTATCATGGAAGAAGAACCATTGATGGATCTTTCTGCCAAGGTTCAGCCATATTAGTTTAAAGTTATGACATAATCTCATTTTATGTCCAGAAATGCACTGCCATGAATAAATTCTTCTTCCTTTCATTTATTCTGAAGCTTTGGACAGTCAAATTCACTGGATGAGTTTTCTGAGAAACAGAAATCTCTCCCCATTTATTTTCTTAACTCCTGTAGTGTCATTCGTACTTATTATTTATGGCCTTGGTCAATATTTTGGCTTTGAAATATGAGAAAGGATGCAGAAAGAGGGAGAGGATAAAGAAGACTCCCATTTACTTTCACTGACATTAGAAAAAATAGCAATAAATAAACAAATACCTAAAACACATGGCCAAGAAGGAACAAGAGGAATTGACGGGGACAATTTATTTTAAAATTAATCTATTAAAGTTTCATATTGGCCTACAGTGCAATCCTTTGCTTGTTTAGGTCCCACTATATCTAGTAGGAATTACTCTGTAGTAAATGTGCTTAGGATTGCAGCCTTGCTTGTAGTCTATATATAATATCATTATATATGTGTGTGTGTCTATCTCTCCCCATATCAGTGTAATAAACAAAGAAGAAGCAGAGGAACCAATATGACAATGGCTGCCAATTATGAGGTGAGTGCCAATTATAACCTACAAATGAGAAATAAAACATGAGATGGAACAAAGGGAAATACAGCAATACCTGAACTACAGGAATATGTCCATGCAACACAGCAAATGTCAGGGCGGTCCAATGGCGGGTCTCAGGGTGGACGGATGGATATTTATGAGGAGTACTGACAACCTATAAACAGATAAAGTAGTTTTCTTTTATAAATGGCTCTCAAGGAAATCTGTATCTAATCAAAATGAATACACCAGAATGCTGGGAACACTTAGGTACACAGGAAAGCAAGCAAGCAAGCATGCAAAAGGCTTTGTAGTAAATTATCTCTTCCTTTTTCATCTAATCAAAAATTTACTCGGCAAGAAAATCCACTTTCCTAACATTCTTCTGTTAGGCCTATTGAGAGGCCAGTTGTAATTATTATTCCTGATTAGTATTAATCCATTGGCCACTGCTGTGGTTGAGTAATTAGTGCAGGGGAGAAGCAACACAGTGGCATCCTGATGCTTAGATTACAACTCCTACAATCACATAACATTGGCCAGGCTGGTTGGAGATGATCGGTATTGTAGCCCAGAACATCTGGAAGGCACCAGGTTGTCCACCTCTGGTAGAGCATTGATTTCTCACTGCATATTCCAGAGAACCACTTGGCTTCCTTGGAAGCCTATCAGGCAGTTCCTGAATGAGAAGGTCAGAAATGGTGGACAACCTTTTTGAAAGGCACCTTATTCACTACTATCTACCTTCCCCTGTAATAAGCCGGTGAAGGGAGAGATGGGTGTGTTCCAATGAGATGAGGCCAACATCCTGTATGAATTGAATGTACATCACAGAAATGCCTCAAAATTCTCTGCCATGTTCAAGAGTTTCATGTCTAATATGCAAGGATTCCTAAAAAATTACAGAATGATACAGTTTGGACATTTCAGCAATGCAACAACAAGCCACAGCAAGCTGATCTTTCATCCTTCCTCACTTCCATCTCCTCCTAAGTCATGGGTGCAAGGAGATCAGAAGCTTCTACTTCTATTTTAGGTTAACTACAGTTTAGAGTGCAGTCTAACATCCAAACCCATGATTAATCCTAATAAAATTAGTAGAACAAGCCAGTTTCGTAAACCAAGGTTTGAAATTGGTTTATTGAGCCAAACAATAGATAGAATTAACCACAGTGAGTTGACTTTGAATGACATGGCAAACTGTGGTTAATTTAAAATGGAGGAGTGGGAGAAATGTCTCAGTCTGAGGCTCCCTGTGGCTAAATTTTAGAACATTAAACTGTAGTTTAGTGTGATGCCTGAATAAACCTAATGTGGAAAAGTTTCCCTGAAGTAGAATGTTTGAAAAACCGCTCATTTAATTTTAATGTTTAAATGACACTTTCCCAATTAGATTCTTTTAATTGACTGAAGTTGGATTAAGCTCAGATGCTGACTAGTTGCTTATTTTCTGTTCCATTCACCAAAGGACAGTGAAGAGATCCAAAATTATTTTAAAATAACTGGTCTCTTACCACTTTGTAGGGGTAGGGAAGAAATCCTATGGCTATAACCACACCTGATCAATCAGATCTACAGGCCAAACATAGCTGCATTTATGGATCTGGGGACCAATAAATAAGTCTAGCCGATCGCTCTGAGGCATGCCCGCCCAATCATGTATTTGCTTCACATATAAGGAAGGACACCCATGAATCTTAACATCAGCTCAGAGCATCCAGTACTGGGTTTCTTTGTAAGATTTCAAGTTAAGCCAGGAAATCCAAAGGACATCACAATGTTAGGAATTTACTTTTATGTATTTACACTTCAGTTATGAAAGCAAGGGGAGACATCTCCTCTGTGCCTGAGAAAAAAACATCAATGGCAAGTTTTAATTTATTTTTCTTTCCTTCTTTTTGCACATCAGCAGAAGCCTTGAGGTAGCCCAACCACGATGAACACCAACTGAGGTAGTGCAAGGGTTTCCCGCTCATAATCTTCCCCACCATGGTGCAATGTATTACTATTAGAATTATAGCAATTATTTCTAAAATAGCACTGACACAGACATTATGGTTATATTACATTTATATCCTACCTTTCTTCCCCTTTCAAGAAATCCAATTTATCCTCATAACAGCAATCCTGTGAAGTAGGTTAGACTGAGAGCTGGTGCCTGGCCCAAAGTCACCCAGTGTGCTTCACGGCTGAGAAAACCTGAACTCTGATCACCTGAGCCCCAGATCAATACTGTGGCCACTGGGCCACATCATGTAAGATAGACATGCAAATTTTATGCAGATCTGCATCTACTGTTGCCCTCCTTTTTGGTGATTCATTTTCTCTTTCTTGACAAGTGTTTAAGTAGCCATCTTAGTAAGTAGTGCCTAATTTTATTCTATCATGCAGCTAATCTACCCTTTCTGTTAAGACTCTGAGCTAAATCCAGTGTTATGCAAATGAACTTCTAGAAGATTTCCCTCCTCTCTTCCCTGCAGCTTTCCCCTCAGATCTGCTCCAGAGCATCCCTTAACCCTCTGGAGTAGATTAGGTAGTGTGCGGCTTGCAAGGAAAATTTGATTTGCAACAGTCTGTTCTGCTAGTGGAAGGACTTTACTGGATATGAGCCCTTTATGGCTGTGAGGCAATCCATTCTCTCTCTCTCTCCCCCCCCCCCCCCCCCCCCCGCCCACTCAGAAGTTAATATTGTTTAGTAAACCTCTTGTTTTCTATCAAGCCCTGCTAGGCTGAAGGTGCTAATGCATCTTATTGGCAGTGACAACCATCACACAGGACAAAAAAGGCTCTGTGAAGGTTGTTGGCAGCAGTTTACCCACTGTCAAGCTTTCAGGCCAAAACAAAAACATAAACTAACTCTAAGGCAAGTTTCAGAAGAAACTTTTTTTAAAAAGACCTTTCACATTTCCTCAAGTTCTTCTATGATTGTTAAAGCCTGTGACAAGAGAATAAGAAAGCCTCTGCATCCTATTCCACATTTTTAAGTGCAGCATTCTGGGCTGGAAGACTCACTTGAGAAAACACTCTGAGAAAAGAAGTCAACAATGGATTTTCACATATTTCAGCCAATAGTTACCAGTCAGGTTTGGTTTTCTGTTGCTAACATATTCAACCAAGTAATTGCAAAGTCCAACTAAGTTCTTCTTTTGGAACTTAGCAAATGTGTTGGCCTTATTGTAACCATTAGACATTATTCTGTATCCATTTATTTTAATATATTACCCCTTTTGCCATCAAGATTAACCCAAACATGTCTGGATGTGGTACTTTCATAAACAGAAGTACAGTACTGTAAAACCTTGTCTTGTGGTTATTTCTATACTGTGTTAATCTTCACAGATTACCATCCTCTTCACAAATATGTGCACTCTGGAGTGGGCTTGTGTGCAGCACAACCACATGGATGCATATTCTGTGTTGGTGTGTACAGCTTACTTGTTCCTGTCATCACATTATATTTATATTAACCGTTCAGGGAACAATGGATTGCTTCTTTTAACACATGTTAGGTATGTGGCTTTCTACCAAGTTTGAAGTGGTAACTGAACAGAAAGAATGGATCACTAACAAACAGGGTCAAATAATTTTACATATTTAGGGCAAAGCCCAGTGCAAGAACAGACAGGAAAAAATGCCTACAACTCACAACATGCCCCAGCTTTTTTCTGTCTAAAATTTCATTAAGCTGTTCCCTTATGCTCTTACCTAAATGAAATTGCAATTCTTGGAAGCTACAATATATTATTTTGATAAGTTAATAGGTTAAGTGGCACACTTCTATCATATGGGCAGGCAGAAACTGCAAACAATGTTGATGCAGCAAGAAAAACAAGTTGGTCTTTAACAAATAACATTAGATAAAAACTCTTATTAATAGAATCACTCCCACTATATCCCAGGATGTATATTAATGGTGGCTGTCAAACGTCAACAATTAAAAGTTCCCAAATGAGTCTAATATTATTAATCTGCTTCAGCTCGTTAACAGCACAATGCTATGTATCTTTACTCAGCTATAAATCATGCTATATTCTATAGGATTTGCTCCCAAAGATGTACCTGTAGGATTACAGCTGTGGAACACAACCTGACAAATGTCTACTCAAAAGTAAAACTCACTGTGTTCAATGGGGCTTACTCTTGAGTAGGAGAGCTGCAATGCTAGACACAGTTGTCTGGAAGAAAACTTAATGGGACTTACTACTGAGCAGTCAAGCTCAGAAATCTGAAGCATAGCTGCAATCCTAAATTCATATAATTATGTATACATGTAGTTATACCTGTATTTATAGGCCGCCTATAACTGCTGAGGTATTTCTAGATGGCTATATGAAGGAGTTAGCCCCAGAACCAAGTTTTGAATCAATGTGTAATGAACGGCTGTGATCCTGTGCATTATTTCCTTGGAGTAAAATTCCTCACTAATCATTAAAATATATAACATCTTTAAGAATATTCCTGATGAAACACATACTTCAACCACAGTGTGGGTACCTAGAAAAAGGGAGAATACTCAAATAAAAATGGCCATGGGTGTTTCCAGAAGGCCTGGGCAGATATTCAGTCTTGTCCTCTTCAATGGATTTTCCTCAATAAGAAAAAGAGATGGAATAAGGCAAGCAGGAGAGGGTTATCCATGAAGAGGATGACGTCAGGATGTCCTGCATAATTCCGAGAATAAGACTGGGCAGTATTGTGGTAAGGTTTCGTAGGGAAGCACAAACAAACACGGAGCTCCCCAAATTAAAAGAGAGACATGAATGTTGCCCGTCAGGCTTAGGAAATACAGAAGGAAGTGAAGAGGAGGAAAGAGGCAAGGGTGGGCAACAATGCTAGAAAGAAGGTGAGAATTCAAAACAGGCAACTATAACTTGTTGGCACTTTGGCTTGGATGGAAGAAGGAAAAACTACCCAGCACCTCTTAGCTCTCTAACTAGCAGCTTATATGAGTTTTGCTTCCTTAAATTAACTTGTGAGGACTGGATCAAAATAGATCCAGTGATTCAATTTTCACTTTTTAATTATGATAAGCTGATTTAACCTATTAGATAAATTTGATTTAAGAAAAAAATGGATATGACAGCCTGTTAATTTGACTGACTGATGCAAAGTAATTCATTGCCTTGATTGCAGTAAGTGTGTTTGTAAAATATGATTTGTTTTAGAGATGTTGCTTTGTTTTTCAGTTTGGGTTGGACTGAAGATAGAGGCTTGGACCTTGATTCAGTCACATGCAGCTGGGCTGGTGGAAGGAGTCACTCTCACTGTCCCCTCCCTATGGAAGTATCTCCGTGAACCTGAAAATGCTATGCAGAGTCTGGGTGCCCTACTGAATGAAATAAGCACTCTTCTTGAGTGCACTTCACCTCAGTCTGCCTCATTCAGCAAGGTCCCAACCCTCTGCATTGCATTTTCAGGGGACTGGAGGCTGCTGGGAGGAAGGGGCACAGCAATTCTCCCTTCGCTAATCCAGTGACATGTGCTTCAATTGGGCATCATGGAGAGCAAACCCAAGAAGAAAAATCTGTTAGAGAGGGCACGTTAGTTTGGGAAGCACCCACAAAACGTTAAACAAACTCCTGTCTTTGGACGGCACTGTTCTCACTGCAACAAAAACACAGTCCAATCTTCTGTTTATCAAATTACTTTTATGCACCAGATCATGTTATACTGAGAGCTGAAGTATTAGAAATGGTGTCCTCCTCCACTCTCCTTCTCCCCTTCTTCCTAGCACCATGATCTTGCAGCTCTTGCGCTTGAAGACGCCCCCCCCCCCCCCGCCAGTGAATCCCAACCAAGAACCGACCCTGTGTGGTCCAGTCCCACATGACTCCAGTGGCAAGGCTAGCCAGGAAGCATGTGAGTATGTTGGGTAACAGGCGCCTGCCTGCATGGAGTTCCATACATTTAGCTCCATGCAACTCCTGGTCACCATTCTAAAATGCAGGGGTGTCCAAAGAGGCATGGGACTAGATCATGTGCAAACAGCTGCCAAAAGGGTAACATCAGTTTGGGCCAAATTCTGTAGCTTATAACAGGGTCATCTTTGCTTCTGCTCATTGCTCTCAGCACCACAAAAGGAAGCAAACAGACAGGCTGTCAGCCTATTCCTCATCAAAAGGCTGTGGTAAAGCAGTGACTAGAGTGAACAACTTTAGAAAGCAGGGATGTGGCAAGGGGAATCCCCAGACTGAATATTCTTCAATGCAAAACGATTCCCTGCACATAACAAATCAGGACATTCAGGAGAAGGCTACCCTACAATCCTTCTCCTAAATATCTAGTTTGATACATGGAGTAATGCCAGCCCTGCTGTGACAGGACGTAGTGCCATCACAGTGAGAACTAGGCCTTTGGTAGTGCCAGAAACCCCTTTCACCAAACGGATGCTGCTTCCCTCACAGAAGAGAGAATGACCAGACATCACACCCACTCATGGAGTTTTCAAAACCCTGGGTTGTTACAAATGAAGCAGGAGCAAGGGAGCTGGTTGCTGCACCTCATCACTCCCATGGGGCACTTCATCCCTGGGTTGTGTGACACATGAACTGAGAATTCTAGATTGTAGGGGATGGAGCGTCCATGGGTAGTTTAGCTCCTCTTGCTCACTACAGGAGGGATTGGGTGGCAAGGGCCAGCCCATCTGCTCTGCCTTTGTTCACATCAGTGCAGGGTTTTGCAAAACTCCTGGGTTGCTGTGACACGTGGACTGCGACATCAGTGCATATAGCTCTGAGGTCTGGAATAATGTTGTGGTTCAGGATGAAGGCCCCATGACATTTTCTCTGGAATTGACATAAAATACAGAACTTATTTAAAAACAAACCATCCTCATAAATACATTTTACTTAATTACCAAGTTCTTCTGCTAAGGCCCATTTCAGTTGTAAATGTCTTTGATCTTGGATCCCTGTAGCCCTCCATAACAGGTTCTCAAAGATGTCAACAGAACACTTGTAATCATAAGAATGTGCTTTGTAAGAATACAGCTATTAGGCAATGTAGCAATGCAGTTAATCAGTGAAATAAACCAATGACACTCACCTCAGCATTGAGATCTGCTCCTGCATCCAGCAACATCTGAACCATGGCCTCATCACCCCTCACACAGGCGTACATCAGTGGCGTCATGCCCTGCGTGAACATCGGGGTGTTAATATACTGATGGGGATAGGCAGAAACAATCATGTTGACCATAAGAAAAATTTCAAAATATAACCACAAGATCACAAAGGATCCTGGAAGTTTGCATGTTTTTGTAATCTTTTAATTGGTCTAACACATATGGATTCAGAATATATTGATGAGTTTCCAATGGATGCGGTTTATTTAGAAATGGTGCTATAAATACATCCCCTTGCCAGGAACAAGACAGTCAACTCTAACCCAAATTGCACCCATATGTTGTGAAAGTCGCTTGCAGGCTGACTCTAACAAAAGAATCTTAAGGGTGACTAGAATGGACAGAAAGCTGAGACAACTATAGTAAAAATAGCTTTGGGACATCATCATACTGAATGCAGTAATGGAAAAACTGCTTATCTTTCATGTTTATAAGGTTTCATCAACACATTAAACAAAGTAAATCATGTGCATTTCTATGTATGGTGAAGTATTTAGGTTTGGGTCAAGACTATTCGCATGTAAGAAGGGCTGCAGCTTATTCATTCATGTATTCATTACATGTATATCCCACCTTTTTTCCTTTCAAGGAACCAAATACATAAATCTCCTATTCCTCTCAATCTTATCCTCAGGACAACCAACCTGCAAGGTAAGTTGGGCTGAGTGTTTCAGGTTCAAATCCTGCCACCTCCAGGTAACACTTGGAAATACTGTGTCTGAGACCTGGAAATTACTGAGCTGGGAGGACCAACAGCATAACTCAGTATGTATTTATGGATTGCTGTGTCCTGAATTAGGCTCAAGTATGAATTAAGCTTCAAACTTTCAAACATTCACGAAGGTAATCACTTAAAACTTAATCCAAAACACACAGTTAGAATTCATGTTTAAAATGGCCTGCCTTGACTGCATTCATACAAATAAGCTTTGGTGCTGATCAGTCTCCCAGCAACTGCATTTCACATGTCGCTCATGTGGCTTCTTGAACATGAGATGGGCATCAACTGGACTGAGCAGCTAATTGTGCTTTTCTACTTCAGCAGTACTGTAAATCATAAAATTGCCTCTCCTGCACTTAGTAATAACACTGGCCTGCTAAAATGCTTACCTGGGCCAGAGATCTTCTGGGGGGGCATGCAAAACCCTCTCCATCATGCACAGAATATAACACTTAACATGAGTTAAATGGAAAAAGTTCAGAGGAGAGCAACCAAGATGATCAAAACCTCTAGAAGGAGAGACTGCAGAAAGTGAACATGTTTAGCTTTGAAAAAGCAAGACTGAGTGGAGCTAGGGTACCACTTTTCAAATACATGAAAGGCTATCACACTGAGGAAGGCCAGGATCTCTTCTCAATCATCCTAGAGTGAGGGCATGCAATAATGGGCTCAAGTTACAGGAGGTCAGATTCCCTCTGGACATCAGCAAAAACATCCTGACTTTTAGAGCGGCATGGCAATGGAACCAATTACTTAGGGAGGTCATTGGGTCTCCCACACTGGGGGCATTTCAAGAGGCAGCTGGACAGCCATCTGGTATGGGTGTTTTAACATGGAGTCCTGTACTGAACAGGGGGTTGAACTGATGGCTTTATTGGCCCTTTCCAATTCTACGATCCTATGATTCTGTGAGTTCTCTATGAAGGTAAATATGTTTTCAATGGAACTAATTGTGTAATTCTTCCTCCTGAAAAAAGGTGAGGTTTGCACAATGTCACTTAATACATATCCATGTGGAGAGATAGTGGGGTGCATGTAGTTAGAGAATCAGACCAAGAGAAGGCAGGATTTGGTTCAACTCATCAATTAAGTCATAAAGCTCACTGGGTAATTGTGGTTCACTTGCTCTCAGGCTAGCCTACCTCATAGGATTGCCATGAGGATAAAAGAGGAGGTGAGAGAATTGTGCGTGTTAGCCTGAGCAACTTGGAGTAAGAGAGGTAAAAAACATAACCAATAAACAAAAAACAAACAGCTGATGGAGACTGTGGTTTCTCTGTCCAAGGCATCATCTTCATAGCCTCTCTGAGTTTTCCAGAAATTTTGTGGATTTTTAAGAGTGAGGAAAGTCAGCTATTAAATTTCAAATGAAGAACAAACCAGGATGAAAAGTCTCATGTATTTTGCAATTATGCTACACTGCTACTATACCACATCACCCCCTTGTGGTTGGATAATGGAATATCTAGAAAGTCAGAGAAGGATTAAACCCATGCGGTGGAAATCCACATTAAGGACTGATCGTTCCTGCCACAAAGAAAATGGAAGACGCATCAGTAAAGCAGCACATTAAACGCCTCATGGAGAGAAGCAAGACATGTGTATCGTGTGTCTGCCCAGTTTCTCCATCACAGAAACTAGATCTTTAGCTCAGGTAAGTGTCTGACTTAAGTAACAACTGGCTTTACAAAAATAGACACTGATGAATGACTTAAATAATTTCTCAAAAAAACCCCACTCCTTTTTGAAGCTATATATTACTACTGTCCTGTCTTCACCAAAATAAGCATTTAAATGCTACCATAGTCAGGACTTAATTATTCTTTTTCTTGCACCAAAATCAGAATTTTGGGCCTTTTGTGAAAATGTTCCTCTGGCAAGTTAATAAGCTTGTTTTTGACAACTCAGATTCAGGCACTTTATGCTCACCACCAATATCGTTAATGTTCAGAGAAGTAGATACTTTGTACGCTTGTCCATGGTACAGAGCAACTTAATTTTAAATGAAATGCCAGACTGCAGTGTTGAGAGGTTGCTAGCTCTAGGGAAATACTGCCCTGTTTGGAGGAAAACTAGATTAGCTGACACTTTGCTACAGAGACTCCTGGCTGCAAATTTATATTAATCAGTACGACCCACAGCTGCTGATCAACATATCCCTTGTGATTAGTGTTACTTTGACAATGGGATTAGGCACAGATGAAAGTGCAGCACAAGAGACACAAAGGAAAAAAGCGAGCAAGCAATGTCTTAAATTCAAGAGAGGTATGAAGCAGGGAGAAAATAGCTGGACATGGAGGGCGGTGGGCTGTTAATCTTGTCTCCGCAGGAGTTTTCTCTTGACGGTAAACTCTTTCAGTTGCTACATTTTCATTAATCCATTTTCAATTTGATCTTTTGAAATAACAATTGTACACGAGCTTTGCTTTGTGTTGTTACCTGCTCACTCATGCTGTTGATTCCATCTGGTCCCAGCAATGATATGGCCTGTTTGACCAGGTCTGTTCGGCCACAAGTCAACATTCGGAAACCCAGGTCCTGCTTGAATTTTGCTTCCGTGGCTACAGCATCCAGCTTCCGAGAAGCACAGAAGCAGTCGTCGATTCTGCATACGGAAGAACAACCGTTTTGTCAGGATATGCTCCCTGAAGAGACGTTCACCATTCATTTTGCCACTGCTATGCTTTGCCTTTGAATGGCATGCACCACTGTTACCATGGGCAGTCTCTATTATAATCGGTCAAGGAGATTCTAAAGCAATGAAGTCTACTCACATTAAAACATCTTTAAAAATCATAATACAGCTAAAGCAGTTAGAACTAAACATTTAGTGTACTAAATATACTTCATACAGTATTTAAGTGTTTTAAATAAATCACTAAAAGGGCAATGGTGCCTTTGGCACTAGCGATAATGTAATCATGCTGTACCAGTGTAATCTACCTCTAGTTCAGGTTGGGCACCTCATGACCCTCCAGGATGTTTTGGCTTATGGTTTCCATAAGCTGCAGCCAGCACAGCCAATGGAGAAGGGAGAAATGCTGTTCCACTGGGGTGGCCATCCCACCTGTTCTCCACCTGAAGACCTTATACGGAAGGCTTGCACAGTGTAGGAAGCATGGCTGCAGGGGAAAGAGGCTCGGGTTTGTCCTAGTTGCTCAAATTTTGATTTCAAGACTATCGTATTTTGGAATTTTACTGCATGGTATAAACCCTTGTCCATAGAGTTTTGGCTACTGGGTGGTATAGTTATGAAATAAATAGGCATGGAGGCTGTTGGCCTACCTATTTGAGGGGCCTAAGTTGCCCACTGCTGCATCTAGTTCAATGCCAAGAGCCGAGAAGGAAGCCCACTGTACCAGCAAATATTACTGGCATTGAGCTAGAGGAACCTTTTGGTAGCACAGTTCAATTTGCATCTGCAATAGCGCTCAATAGGTCACTGCTTGTGGTATTTTATTTATTACGATTGTATCCCACGCTTCCATTCAGCAGCTCCACAGCTCCAAGCAGGTTATTTTATTGCTGGTCTGTTGTTGAGGAATTTACTGGGTTGGATGAGATGATGCATCTGCCCTGCCCTGTTCAAATGTGTGCCCAGGAGCGAGTGAGCACAGCTGTTCCATGCCCGCCCAGTGAGCTGACCCTGTATGTACAGGATCAGACCATCTGAGTGATATCATATGTACGATTCGGTAAGTTCACACAAGAATCAGAACCAATTTCAAAAACACAAAAAACATGTAAAACTAATTCCGTAGGCTGCTATCTCTAGAAGAGGATTCTAGAGTTAAAAACCATGCAATTTAGAGATAATTACAGGAGACATGCAAGAATTCCAGCAATTTTAGTTACAGAGAGCTTAATTAATAATTGTAGACAAACTACTGCCTGGTTAGTGCTCTTTATGCTGCTATAAAGAAGACGCAAATCAGACCCACAGAACCTGAGTTCATCAGCAGTGAATGGTATCAGCATTTATTCATTTAAAAGCATTTTTATACCATTCCTGTAGTCAAACTTTAAAATACATTAAAAGTTTAACACATAACATACCGTGTCAAAATAGATTTAAACAATCCCAAGATAAAACCATAAAAATATCACTTAATGAAAATAAAACAGAGTATAAAATCAAATATATAATCCAATAAGAATCATTGTAAAATTAATTTAATCATAAAGCAAATTAAACAAATGAACAACCATAGTGTCATATAAAATAAGCTAGAAATATAAAATTTTAACTATTAAAATATAAAAAAAAAGGCTTTAGCCTGGTGCAGAAAGGTATATAATGATGGTGCCAGGCACACCTGCCTAGAGAGCTGGTTCCATAACAAGGACACCACATCTGAAAAGGCCCATCTCCAGGTAGCCATCTTTCTTATATCTTTCACAGCAGGCTACTGGATAAAAACCTCTGATGTATCACGCTATTTATACAAAATCAGCCAATTTGAATTCTGAGAATATTAGGAATGCATTCCCTTCATAATTTGACCTTCACAGGGTACCTTTTATATTGACAGACTTTTGTGTTTGTATCAGGAAGTGCTCATTTGTAAGAGAAATGGCTGTACTCTGAAGACCAACTTGAGTTCATTGTAATCTTAAATATTCTCATTAACCACATCAAGAACAACTTAAGGAGCCCTGGACAGTTCTGCTCTTGACTGATAAAGGGAGTTTGAGAACATTTGCCACAGGTGGCAACAATTACTACTTCTCAGCTTCCCAAACTAGAAAATATAAGCTTAGAAGCACAAAACAAGCAGTTCGTTAGTGTCTCTGCAGTGATGCATCTGTTGGATTGTATGTAATGTTGATCCGACTTGGAGCAGACCCACTGTAAAGAATGGGGCTAAAATTAAACCAGTGCAATAGCAGGACTAGTCTACCAGCATCATCTTCCCCTGCTTGGAGCCCTCCAGATGTGTCAGGATTGCAACTCTCATAATTCCCAGCAACTAGGAATTATGGGAATTGCAGTCCCAACATATCTGGAGGGCTCAAGTTCTGAAAGGCTGATCGTATAGTCTGTGGGGACTTGAACCTTTTGCCTCCTCCTGAAGTACCAAGTGGATGGGTTGTGTGGAGCACGCCTGCAATTTGAGCTATCAGAACCAGCAGCCCTGTTGGAATGAACACACAGGACCTTTTTTGGCAATTCAAATTGCAGGCATGATCCAGATCAGAACCACAATAGCATTAAATAGAGTTAAATTCCCCATAACATCTCCTCCCATGCACATGTGTGATGGTGCCAGTCTGTGTTGTTGAGCCCACACCAGCAACAGGGGCACCTGCACTCCAAGCAAGAACTAAGCAGCTAAGGGAAGACGGACTGTGGGCCTTGATGTGGCCATCATGACCAGTGAGCCAGCCTGAGCAAGGGCAGAGGGAAGGGGACCAATCCTGCCGCTGTGCTTAACAGGCAGGGTGAGCTGCAAGGACGCACGCTCCAGCGCTGGTGTGAGATCTGCTCCTACACACGTGCAGATGCCCACACCATTGCTACCACCATCAACATCCCACTGGTTACGTGATTACACACACACACACATACTACACATCGCACCCACTTTGTCTTCACTCCCTCAACTAGCAATTGCCACCTGAGCTCTCCAGGGAGTCAGCTCTAGCCAGGCCCAAACAACTGGCTCTGAGGAAGGACCCCTCAGTGCCAGTCATGTGGGCCTTCCTGGCTTCCTCTGGCTGCTTTGGTGGCCAAAGCAGCTGTACAGAAAACCTGTCCACCCTCTGACTCACTCTGGGAATCTCAGGGCCTCACTGGATGCCCGGGAGAGCCCCTCTGGCCCCCCACCCACCGTGGCATTTCCTTTCCAAAGCTGCTCTCCGGGGCCATGGCAGTGGGGAGGCACCCCTGGAGCTGCAGCCTGCACGCCCTTGGAATATGTGCAAAGAGCAGTATAAAAATATTTAGCAATAAATGATAGCATCAGCTGCTCCCTGATCCTTTAAAGCAAAACTTATGCCTTCCTCCGAAGGTGCCAGTGATTAAACATGAAATCTTCTGCATGCAAAGCTGGCAGTCTACTGCTGAGCTACAGATTGTTCCAGGATGAATGCTCAAAATGTACACGCTTCGCTTTCCATCTATTCATACCTTCCCAAGATTTGTGGGGGCAGTGGGGAAGACACAACTTTGTTAGTTTTTTTTTTTTTTTTTTAGAAGAAGTGATGTAGTGCCATGGAGAAAGGTATGAGTAAGGCTGAGGTCATCCATGCATGCTTATCAGTTAATGACTGATTAAGCAGTTATCAATGGATGACATGAATGTGTGAAATAGCAATCACTCATGACTCATCCCCGACAGCTTATGCATCAGGGGTCTCAAACTCAACTTACCTGGGGGCCGCTGGAAGTAGAGTCTGGGTGAGGCTGGGCCGCATCAAGTATTCCACCACCATGGTGCTGGTGGGCTGCTCATCCCGCGGCTGGCCCAGGCGCCGCCGGCACTTTGAAGGCCGCATGGCCCCTCCCCCGTGCCTCACCCGTCCCGGCAATTGAGCCACGAGTTTGAGACCCCTGTTATGCATCATCTCCTGCACCAGCCTTCCCCAACCTGGTGTCCTCCAAATCGTCCTGAAGCTGATGGGTTCACAGTTCTGTACATCTGGAGGGGCCAAGACTAGGGAAGGTTCTCCTATCTTTTCAATGCAAGCTTTTCATGTGTTCAGCTTTGAGTCTTCCAGGGATGAATGTGGTAGATGAATTGCAGGTGGTCATTAGGAATACCCAGCTGTTACCTGGAAGAGGGTAACCTTTTGTAGACTCTCAGCCTAGTATTGCCTTTCCCTGCCAACACAGGGCTGTGGATCAGGACCACAGCCCATGCAATTGTAAGCAAAGCTTCATACTCCCAGAAACTTATTCTTCCCTTAAAGAAAAGGGAGGTTCTCAGAAATAAATTTATTTAAAATATTTCTTTCCTGCATTTTAACCGTTACATTTCCAGGACAGCTTGCAAATCAAATGATAAAATATTGCAACCATCATTCCAGTTCTCTCAGTAGTGAATCTTCAAGGGGTTTGACACTACATATGTTCAGTTTCTTTTGAAATGAGGTCTCTGGAGGGTTGCTAGTGTTTTATAATATTTGGATTTATTTAAAAATATGCATGTTGAACATAGGTGGAAGTTCACAAATTAAGTATAGGTGGTGATTCACAGTGGTTCCCAAGTACGGGAGATAGGTTTATCACCTGATCTGGCAATAATTTCACTGGTGATAATTTTGCTCCCTCTGAGAAAATAGGTTCCTAATCTAGGGGTAGCCTTAGTTCCATCACTGTTACTGAAGAGGCTTGGCGTGCCTTTTACCATCTTCAGCTAGTTCATCAGCTACAGCTCTCTTGAACATTCACAGAATAGTAGAGTTGGAAGGGGCCATGAAGGCCATCAGGTCCAACCCCCTGCTCTTGCAGGACACCAGTTTATACCATCCCACTCAGATGGCTGTCCAGTTTCTAGCTTGGCCACACTAATGCAGGTACCAGTAACCTCAAGACTGGATTCTTCAATGTGATCTATGTGGAGCTGGCCTTGAATACAGCAGCTTCTCTACCGTCAAGAGTTG